ACAGACTTACAGCTTATTTTTAACAAAGGGATTATTTCTTTTTAGTGAACAAATCATCTGTAACATGGAAAGCTGCAGCATGTAAGCCAGTTCCTAACTACATCAGTTTTCACCAGAAACAAATCTAGCAGTGTGTGTTCTAGATTTCTTCAGTTAATAATGTAAATTAAGTTGCATTTGGTAAATAGAAAGATGTGTGTTGCAAAAGTTTTCCAACATCTCACTTAGAGTGTAATAAACTGTGTGTTGTTTGCTAGCTTTGTGACTCCTCTAAGTTTCTGATCGTATGGTATAAGAAAAATCAATATCTCATTTCTCACATCAGCCAGATGGATAGGCCAGGCAAGGGCTTCAGCCAAGGCTTTGTGCCATTCTGACAGGGAAAAAACATGTTTTCCCTATTTCAAGCTCTACTGTTTACAAGCAGCTATTGACAGCTTTGCAGTACTTTCCTCAGGTAAGATCTATCATGGTAGAGCTTTGAAGTCCTGCTGGCTCTGCTGTATTTCTTACCCCCCTTCAATTGCCAAGTACAGTTATAAATTCTTAAAGTGGTTTTTACTTTTGCATGTGCTCGCTAAATGTTGAGATTAGCCAAGGAATAAAGGAGATGTTCTGAATTTACGGTCAGCCTGGCTTACGCTGATCCTCACAAAAAAAGGTGTCATGAGATTGTGACTTACAAAAACCTGGTGACTACATTTCCATACCCTCTGATGAAATTAGTTTCCCTGTATGGCTGTATGGCACAGCTCTTTATATCTGTTGCGGAACAAGTTGGTAGAGAACCAACTGGCAGTAGAAATGGCATGTTTTTCTGCTCTGTGGATTTCATGGAACACATTAGAATAACAGGTAATTATTAATACCAGGATTAGGGAGAATACCGATATTGGTAAAAAAAAAATCTTCAAAGTTTGAAAAGAGCTGAAAAAGGTTATATTTTGCAATGCTTTCGCTAATAAAATTAAAAACATTATTAGTGAAAGCATTGATTTTCTACTTTTACACACCATATATCATATTCGCATCCAAAAAAGAGTATTAAAAGATAATTGGACCTTGTGATTGCCAAGTGAATCACTCATTGTATGGGAATGCCAAATAAGAATTATCCATTTAGCTCTGGTTGGCCATCCCACTCAGTGCTTATTACACATTATTTTTTTCCGTAGAGAGACACTGCTTGGCAAAAAGAAACTGCATTCATTTGCCTGATTCACGCTCTCTTGTTAAACCTCTGTATTAACAGGGGCTGAGTGTACGAAGAGCCCTCCATGACAGTTTCTTCATAGCTATGTCACTGCCTATGAGGTGGCTGTGAAGTTGGCTTCAAGAAAGTTAGTGCTAGCATTTAGTGCATCTAAAACACTATCAGTACGGCCTAATTCCCCTGTAATAAAAGAAATTTAAAATTCAAATGCAGGTACTCCATTTTCCACATGTCACCATCAGGAGAGCTACAGAGGCAGCTCAACTCACAGAGGGAATTTGTGTGCAAATGCAGGCCCTTCATACACTCGTGGAAAGCAGCAGAATACAAACGAGATCTCTGCAACACTTTTATACTAAATCCTCTTAAAGTTCAGACCAGTCCAAGTTCTATGATAAACCCAAGAGCTCAGCCTGGGTCTTCCCCCTGCTTTGCCACATCCAGTTCCTTCAGACCTCGAGGTCCCTGGGGAAGCCAGTCCTTGTGCAGACCCAGAGTGACAACGGCCCCCCCTGAACTGAGTTTGGTTACTCTGGGGCCTTGTCGACACAACCCTACACCGACGTGTTTTATCACAGCGCAACCCTGTAAGCTCACTGTAAGCCCTTCATTTCCCCTTGAGTTTTCAGGTTTAAAATTTTAAACTGAAACCAGGTGGCTCAAACCTAAGGCGATGTTCATGAATGAAACCGGGAGCAAACAATGACACAGTCCTCCCTGATGCCTGGACAAAACTATGAAACATAGTGGGACAGCATAAAGCTGCTTAAATGAATGAGACAAAGCTATGCAAGCCAGCTTTTGGTTTGCAAAATTAAATATAGTGAGGTATGGATCCACTTTCATTTGTAACTTCTGAAGTGTAACTGATTCAGATGAAAGGTTCTGTTTTGGCTGATATGAATTTAAAGCTCAAAATCAATGACATCACATATCAACATAGGCAAAAACAGAATATAATGCTCCCTACGGTACCTTTTGAAGCTTACTTTTATTAAAAGTATACTGTACTGTTCTTCTGCAAATGGAATTTAAAGATCATTTTGTCAGAGACGTCACGAAGTGCAAAGAAACATTTGCACAACTCACTTTTAGCTGGTCTAACTTCAAGACAGAAATTGGAGTTAAGGAAGGAGCACAAACCATGACATTAAAGCAATGCTTCCTCTTTTTCTGGCTGATTGCATGCTCAGATTGCACTTAAAATTCTCAGGGGATGTACAGATTGAGATGAAATATTGTTTTGGTGTAATGGCAGCATGGAGATCATAGCTATAAGCTATTTTTGTAAAGCATAAATCAGTACCTGAGCACCAAACCATGGGAATCTAGCATTCAATTCATATATTATCACTAATTATAATTTTTTACTTGATGATATATTATCACTCATGCAAGTAGCTATAAGCTATTTTTTCCACCCATAACCACACAACTTCTGCACAAGGCAATGACTGCTGAAAACTGCCAAGTGTAAATAAGAAAAAGGTTATTTTTGTTATTGGTAATTTTGTGCCCAGTGGATAAACTGTTCCTTCTCACTACAACCCAGGGCATTGAACAGTTCCTTTCCCAAAGAGCCTATTTTTTAACAAGGCAAGGCAAGCAGAGGCTCAGAGAACAAGATGCAGCAGCCAAGAATTAAGACTGAGTGACATTTTGCAGTCAGCATGTTAATTCACTGCTTTTTCTCCTTTAAAAAGAAACACCTGAAAACACCATAAGTAAGGATGGGGTACAGAGTCTGTGAGGGAGAATCTTGACAGCTTTGGAACAAGTGACTAATTACTATGGAGGAGGAAAGGCTTAAAGTTCAACGTGCTGCTGTGACTTGTTTTCTAAACTGTTGGCCATCTCGATCAGTTAATTTTCAGCATTTCTCAGCACGTGCCCTCATCCTCAACCTGCAGCTGAGAGCATTGCCTCTGGAATTGGGTTCTGCAGAGCAGGTGCCAGCACTTTCACTCTGGGCTCACAACTCATCAGTGGCTCACAGATGTCTGCTGGCATCAGCCACAGACATGATCCTCACTGCAGCCTTTGCTGTAGCTGTCTTCATCCCTCCTCCCCTGGCTGAAGATGTCTTTCTGATCTCCCATGCTGCACCCTTTTTCTTCCTTTCCCAAATCTATGTGGGTCAGAGCATGGCACACCCATTCGGTCCAAGTGTCCAACAGCATCTGAGGTCTATCTCAGATTAGCCCTTACAGTGTTTTGGGGTGTTTTTGGAAGGAATATGTCTTTCCCCTTAATATTATAATTGAGTTGCAGCAGCTCCAGCTAGGTGGAATTGCTCTGATATGACAAAGAGGAGTTCAGGAGACAAAATGGGCTGAGCTTCATCTCAGCCTTTAGCCATGTTCACCAAAGCCTCCTACATTACAATAAAATCTTGCCAATCGTCCTGCATTGGTGACCAAGAGCCCGCTGGCTTCAGCCAGGCCTGCAGGACCTCGCTGCCCAGAGGGGTGGTGTGGTGGCCACTCGCCTGCCCTGCTGTCCTCAGATCTCACGGACACTTGCTGTAGTCTTCTGGCCACCGCTTATGCTGGCAATATCAGCCACATCTACTACCCACAGCTAGTAGTTTGCTGTGGGGAAGTTTGCACAGCTCCCTCTTGGCAGCATGCCCAGATAACAATGGCTAAAGTGGTAGTGAGGTGAGTGTGCACAGGGGGTGTGAACACAATACACAAAACTGTGCATTCTGGAAAGGTGGTTGTCCAAAACTGGTAACACCATGAGGAAAGTAGGAATGGTGAAGTTTACTTGAGACAACCATCAGCTGAATTAAACAGTAGACAGGGGATTACCAGGAGATTTATGAGAGTAGAAAGAGTCAGCCTGGAAAGAAATCTCAAGGAAGTGTGAGAAGTTGTGACTGCAGACGAGACCCAGGAGTGGGACAGGGGAAGCAGTGGCCACCAAAGCCAGGGCTGGCATGGCCAGAAGCAGCCCACCGCTGCCAGATGGTGTGAGCAGCCTGTGTGCAGCCAACACGCTGATGCTGATGGGGTACAGTGCTGAGAGTAGAAAGAGTCAGCCTGGAAAGAAATCTCAAGGAAGTGTGAGAAGTTGTGACTGCAGACGAGACCCAGGAGTGGGACAGGGGAAGCAGTGGCCACCAAAGCCAGGGCTGGCATGGCCAGAAGCAGCCCACCGCTGCCAGATGGTGTGAGCAGCCTGTGTGCAGCCAACACGCTGATGCTGATGGGGTACAGTGCTGGGGGGGGGGGGGGGGTGGGGGGGGGGGTTCCCCCCCGGGGGGGGGTTATTTTTGGGGGGGGGCTTGTGGGGTGTGTTCTCACCAGTGGATGGATTAGTGGGTAGGGTGCATGCAGATCACCCATGTCTCCCCAAGGAGAGATGCATGAGTTGGGGAACCAGCACCCCAGAGGAGGAGGGTGCACCTAACCATGCATGTGTGTGTGTGCATGCTTAGAAGTTTTGGGGATTACTCATGGAAAGTGCGCTTAGAAATTTCTGGGTGTTTATCAACATTTGCTAAGTGTCTTGAATTGTGGTTTATGTGCTGCGTTGCCAATACCAATCCTAAATGTGTAGTTGAATGCTTGCCAGTTAGTTAGGTGCTGCTAATAATCAGATAAATGGCTCTGATCCCCTCTGGCATAGCTTGGACAGCTGAGCTCTCTCCCTGTGGGGCACCGTGCACCTGTCCCCCATGCTGTGACCTCACAAACCCTGGTGTCATGGGGTGGGGTTGGAGAAGATGACCTTGCAATCCAACCTCTGGACCCCAGCAGCACCCAGCTCCTGCTCTTCCCTCATGTCGACGGTGACAGCAATTAACCTGGTGCTGCCTGAGATTGAGGTGCATTTGGACAGCTCCAGTACAGATGGCCAACTGGTTCTGAACCCCAGGAGTACCCTGGTGGATCCTGTGGTGAAGGTGGAGCTCGTGGGAAGAGGCTACCTGAGGTGGCTTGAGGAGGATAATTCTGAACTGGACTATCACAAGAGCACGGCTTGCACCAACCAGGCTATCTACGTCTCCAAAGCAAAGAATTTCCTCATAGAGGGTAAAACACTGGAACGAGGCACTGGTTAACTGAACAGCATCTTAGTGTTGGGCTAGGGAAGGTGGGATCTGGGCAGGAAGTCTTCCTTTTGCCAACGTCCATGTGCTCTGTTTCTATCCCATGGCATACTCCTTCTCACTACATCATATGGCAACCAGGGCTTCGCGATGAACAGTAGCATTCTGGTATGATCAGCAGTATTTGAGAGTGTGAGCAGTCCCCCATGAGTTGGTGGCTGTATCTGTGAAGTGAGCATTTGTTGCACAGAAATCTATCACAACCTGTCTAGCAGCAGGTAGGAAATCTTTAGTCACAAGCACATCATTGAAACATCCTTTGGTTATCTAAAATGCTTCAGTGTTCTTGTTGACTTATGTGCCAGCAAGCGTCCACTGGGTATACAGGCTTTGTTACATTTGCAGCTATAGTAATGGCATTATTAGAGTTACTGCTGTATCTTTACTGGGAGACAAGAAAAATGTGAGATCCACACTGAAAACACCTGCAAAAGTGTGAGAATCACAGAATCACAGAATGGTTGAGGTTGGAAGGGACCTCTGGAGGTCATCTGGTCCAATCCCCCTGCTCAAGCAGGGCCACCCTGGGCTGGTTCCCCAGGCTTTTCAATTTCTCAAAGGAAGGAGACTCCACAACCTCTCAGGGCAACCTGTTTCACAGTGAAAAAGTGTTTCCTGATGTTCAAAGGGAACCTCCTGTGTTTCAGTTTGTGCCTGTCACCTCTTGTCCTGTCACTGAAAAGAGCCTGGCTCCACCTTCTTTGCACCTTCCCTTCAGATATTATACACCCCAACATGCACATGCATAAATGCAGAACTAACTATTAAAATTTACAGATTTATTAAAAAGAGTAAAGTCAGTTGGATGTAATGACCACCTAAAACAGTGAACTATTCCAGGCGATGCTTAAAGCAAATGGAAGCCTCCTAGGAGGTGCACTCCCCCTTCTCCGCTACTCTTTCTTAGGGTCTGTTAGGAATCCTGAAAATTTAGTCTGCAGATCATAGGTAGTCGCTGCCCTAGACTAGTTTAATACTGAAGTTAGACTGTGCCAATGCATGGAAACTGTGCTTTTGAGCTAGGACTTGCAGTGGTCAGGCTTCGTTTCCACTCAGACTTGAAGGCTCTACCTTGTCCAAAGGTCATTTTCCCTTTACACATGCATTAGAGTCTTAGCCTTGACATACTGCAGCATGCTGACTCTTCCTGTAGGCTACCAGATGTTACAGCCCTGACAGAAAAGAGAGAGAAAGGCTGAGTGTTGGATAAATTATTTTTGCCATTGTAAGAACAAGTGCCTGTAAAGCGCCTCAGTTCTGGATCTTCTCGGCTAAAGTTCAAATTGGTGTTGCTTAAAGACACACTTGAATCTGTATTCTGCCACCTACACATATATTTCTGTTTTCAAAGGAGTTGAGCATCCACATCCATCAAGGCTTGCCAATGCAGTGCAGTTTAATAACAGATTTTTACAACTGTAACTCAGTCTTTTTCTTCCTTTTCCAGCATTGATTACATCTCTGTAGAAGTGTTCTAACAAGTCCAAGAAAGCCATTTTAAAACATGAAAGAAGATACAGACCTGACCCTTCTTACCCTGAATACTCTGTGCCCCCCACTGATGTTGGCATACAAGGGATGTATGTTTGAACAGATTGCCTGTGTCAGCTTTTGACACTCAGCTGCTAATATGCTCTTGATAGCATGTTACTATCTGGTATTTGATCGTACCACATGCCCTACTTGGGTCACATCTGATGTCTCTGTAAGAAGTGTATATACATGGATCCAGGTGCCTGCTGACATACTTCTTTTTAATCCTGGTAAGCCCCACCATCACACAAGAAACTCAGTATTGTCTCTCTGTGAGATAAAGACTGCTGGAAGAACTGACTCCTGGCAGTCATCGAATATGACTGGTAACAGCTCTAGGATAATTAGATCCAGAAAAGAAAAAGATGAGTTGCAGTGTTACCAGGGATAACCATCCTCATCACTAGCAGAAACCCCCCAGTCGGAGCAAACCAGACTACAGGGCAAACACTACAGGCAGTGTGAAACTCTTCAAGCACTGCTGTGCACTGTCAGTCATACCCCAGGAAATCCCTTGTGTCCTTCATAGAAAGGTCACCCCTCAAGTCACTCCTACCAGCAGCCTCTTTGCACTTTCCCCACAGCTGCAGCCATCATCTTCCTTGCTGGAGAATACAAGATAGAGCACTTTTTGAATTAGGTAACACAATAAATTATCTGGAATTGACTTAAATTTTCCAGTGTGACTGAAGTTCCCAGGTTCTGCTGAACACCAAGACGTGTGGTATCCCCAGGTGCCTCTGGGGAGCTAACTCTTGGGAGCACTCTCCCACCCCTGAAGCTTCTGGGAAACTTTCTACAGTGTAATTAATTCTGTTGCATGGCTTCAGGGGAACAAGATTCCTGAAGCCCACATAGAGGGCAGGTGCTTCTGTGCAATGGGGCTCACATCCAGCAGCCATGGGGAGTCAGGCAAAGCAAGTGTACCTTCGCTTCCAGGGTGAATTCAGGGACATTGTTTAAGGCCACTGTCCTTTTGAGTCCAAGGGCCTGTGCGGAAAGCTAAGCACAGCTTAGCAAGCGGGCCCAATTCAAAGAAGTCTTTTTAGAAGTGATGCAAAACAAGCCAGAGAAAGTAGGATTAAAGCTGTACACAGAATGAAATAAGTATCTGCAAGCTTTTTTGCACCACAAGGCCTACTTCAGCCCTGCACACAAAGCTAGGCTCTCAGGCCATACCTGCAGCAGGCACTGAGAAATTTGAACTCTTTCAGTAAATCCCCACACTGTGCTGGGGCTGCAAAACAGACCACTCACACCAGTGCCCAACTGCAGATCATTCCAGGAGGGGAACACTGATTTCTTTGAAGGTTAAATTGCAGATCTGCTTACAGTTCAAAGTCCTTCCTTCTACCAAAACAAGAACATTGCCAAAATAACTTAAAGATGTCGTGTGAGATAAGGCCCTGGGAATATCAGGTTTCTACAAAGTGTCAAAATAGAGAACATGACTTTCTTATATTGCAGTTATCTAAGAGGCTAATGAATTTTAGTTTCCTCCCTTTCAGATTGTTTTAGGCATTTTTTTTCTTCAGAGCTACAACTCTGATTGATTGAAAATGCTGTTATGTCATCTGGTAAATCTCCCATGCTGTGAGGAAACAATATCCAGGCTTTTCTGCCAACAAGAATATCCAGTTTAGATTATTAAAACTTGAGGCATTGTTGAATTCATCCACAAAAGGACGCAGACAGCAGGACAAAATTCTAGCAGTCTCACATCCCCTAATATTGTTTTCAAAGTGAAGTTTTGGCACAAGCTACTAGGAGGAAGGAAAGCTTAAGTCTGGATGATAAACTGCCAGCAGATACATGTGTTTAAAAGAAATAGGTCTTAGATGAATAAAAGAGTCAAGAGCGGGTCTTATCTGGCCAGGAGAGACCAAACTTATCCTTGCATAGGTGGGATAGTTTTTCATTACAGGCAGTGGGACCTCACTCACAGAAAACTGAATTTGATTAAGAGGAAGTGGCACAGAAGCAAAGGCATTTGAAGGAATGGATCATAATTTTACTGTCCCACAGTTGTGCAGAGAAGGTGTCAATTTTTTTTTTTTTTTGTGAGTGGGGGTCTTTTGCACAGGTGAAACAAAAGTTTCAGATCATATGCATAGGTGTTGTAGACAATAATAAAAGAGGAGTGAGAGTTATTACACTGCTTTTCTCCCCAAAAGCCTGTTAGTGCTTATTTGGAAAGTTAAAAATCTGTGGCACTCCATTTTGATAAGTGAAAATCCTAAACACTTTGTGAGGAGCTGCAGATTTGCTGACCTTGTGTTAAAATGAGGCAGATTAGCAGTTCTCAAGTCTGCCGACTGGTAGGGGTCCATACATCCAGCAGCTGACCTGCAGAGGTGATGCACAGTCCACCCCATACCATACCTTTATGCCACTTTGGGTGCAATACCAGATAGCAAGGACACCTTGGATTCCGGGAGAAACATCAAGGTTTTTGTAAGGTACAAACATCCTAAATGTTTAAAGGGCTTCTGATAGCAGCGTGTTGTTTGGCTTTCAGATGGCTGGCTGGCTGGATTCTGGGGTCCACACTTTTGACTTCCACTTTAGCTTTCCTCCAAATATTCCCTCCGCATTCACCGGCAAAATTGCCTGCATCTCCTACTTTGTTCAAGGGACTTGCTGCAGCTGCCAAATTGTCTTAGCTAAATAGGAGAGATGTTTACTGTTGCAAGGAACTGCTGGTGACCACAGAAGACACGTGGAAGACACAGTAATGGGAACAAGCTCTCTGAGTTGGAGACACACAGACCTAGCCTGTTCTGATCCAGAGCTGTAACTGCTTACTACTGAGTGTCCACGAACTTTTAGCTCTGAGCTTCCTCCTTTTAGCATTCAAATGACACTTCAATATCTTCTGCCATCTTTGTCCTAGGGCTTGCACCAAGATGTTTCTTTTCTAGCATACAAGGTGCATTGTAAGACTTCAAGAGTGACATGTAGGGAGCGCTTCAAGATCCAGGATGAGGGAAAAGGGAGATTCTCTTCCTTTGGAGTCTGTGCCTTGGGCAAACATCACCAAATAGGAGGTGCCTCTTTTACCGAACTCTACCTAGACTGAGACAGTAAATCAAAGGTCATCAAGACAGCTAGAACATGATGATTCTAACAATTTTGTGGCCTCCCTCTAAATTTGGGTATGGATAGCTAAAGGTGACAATGTTTACATGTGCACACATGAATTCTTTGCACAGATGCTCAGGAGGACTGTCATAATTCAGCCATGTCACATTCGGTGCAGCGAGGAAGACTGTCCTCTGGGATAATGGTGGGGCTTGTGGGGAGAGTTGAGGAGCCTCAGCTGTTGTGTTAGGAGCTTACGCATGTGGTGTTTGGGAATCACCCCATATCCAGCAACAAGAAGTCACTGTGCTTTGCCTTTCCACTGACCCCCTCCATGCAGGCCCCACTGGTGGTGGAAGCTAGGAAGGATGCGGTTTATTTCTGTTGCTTCAGTCATGGCTCTGTGATCTTTTGGATTTCCCTGGAGGAAAAACTTGTTTTGCCCCAGTGACACCATTGTCTTCATGACAGATATTGCCAACAGGACATGCAAGTATGTTAGAAAGGTCATTTTTGCTGTACACTGCATTGTCCTGCATAGTGTCTTCAGCAGCAGGGGAGAGCAATGCTCCTTGGAAGACCGAAGTGAAGTGACAAGGTTGGAATCTCAGACAGACATGGCTCCCTTTGAGGCCATGAGAGTTACCAGTGTGCTGGTTCTGCCGAAACCCATGCCTGTCACCAGCGCTCTCATGGAAAATAAAATCTTGGCATTCAGATATGAGCTGGTAGGCACCTCTGGCCTTCCTTGTACCACATCCACCATCGTGGGCAGGGTGCCCATCATTATAGGAGCCACACCGGAGCATTTCTCTGTGGAGCAGAACACCATGACTCTGCATGAAAATGAAGGTGACATCTCAAAGGGGGTGAGCCTTCACAGAGACATTTCTGAGATTGACCCAGGAGCAATTGCCAGCAGATCCACGGAATAAAAGATTTTTCTGCAAAATCCATGCACACTAGCTGTATGCTTTCACAGGAGGAGCCTGCTTTTGCAGAGATGCACCAGTGATTCCCAAAACAAGTGGGGTAAAGCTAGCCAAAGCCCAAGGTCAGGAAGGCACATAAGAGGAGCCTGTAATTCTGTTAAATTGACACCTGATAACTGGATAAGGAAGACCAGGAGACTCAGCAGTGGCCTAGGCAGAAGGGGACACTTCAGACATCTCAAAGGGGGTGAGCCTTCACAGAGACATTTCTGAGATTGACCCAGGAGCAATTGCCAGCAGATCCACGGAATAAAAGATTTTTCTGCAAAATCCATGCACACTAGCTGTATGCTTTCACAGGAGGAGCCTGCTTTTGCAGAGATGCACCAGTGATTCCCAAAACAAGTGGGGTAAAGCTAGCCAAAGCCCAAGGTCAGGAAGGCACATAAGAGGAGCCTGTAATTCTGTTAAATTGACACCTGATAACTGGATAAGGAAGACCAGGAGACTCAGCAGTGGCCTAGGCAGAAGGGGACACTTCACAGACCCACAGGATGGCCATGCTCCAGTCCACGGGAAAACAGCCCACCCCAGCCTTATCTAAAGGTATGAGGCAAACATGCAGACCCTGGTGGGAGTGCAGAACAAGCTGAAAGCCAGCTGGGAGATGAGCCAGATGCCTGGCAGAAGGCAGACTGCTTGCTGCAAGGGGACCTGCGGAAGCTGCTCTCAGCGTGGCAGGGTGGGTGACTGGAGGGCCTGGGAGACCCCTGCGGCGAGGAGGGCAGCCAGACAGCTAAGGGACATGCAAGATCTGTGGCTGCTGAGGCAGAGGGAAGGGCAGCAGTCTGAGAAAGCAACCATTACCCAGTGTCGCCTCTGCAATGAGAGGCAAAGATCAGCCACCAGCTCTGCTCCACTGTCACCCACAGGTGAAACTGTGGGCCAGCTCCATGCAGAGCACACCCTCAGCGAGCTGGCGGGTTGTGCAGTGCTGGGGGGAGGCTGAGACAGCAGACGGTCATCCTGCCAAGCAGAGGGACCGGGGCAGGCCAGAGAAGTGGCTGGTCCCGGGGACGTGATGTGCGTGTAGCCCATGCTGCAACCAGACATGTGTGTATGTGTCAGTGTGGGTGACCAGAAGGTTTTGGGGTTAGAAGGGTGTTTAGGATTTTATTGGTGTTTACTAACATTTGCTAAGTATCTAGTAATGTGGTTTATCTGCTGTATTGCTGATATCGAACCTGAATGTAAAGTCCACTGATTGCTGGTTGGTTAGGTGCTGTTGAATCCTGATCTGATCCTGATGTGATTTAAGCCATGTGAGCTGAGCAGCTTTGCCCTGTGGCAGGCTGCTGCTGTTGCTGTGGTTTGCCCCAGTGGGTGCCACCCAGGGAGGGCTGCCCTGCCCGTGCCCCCTGTGGGCTCCCGCTGTGTCCCCAGGCTCTCCAGGGGGCACGTGCAGGGCAGCTGGCCTCCGTCACCCCTTGACACAACCTCAATCCCACAGCAGGGCTCTTGCAGCAGTCACCTGGTGGGACTCACCTACCCGCACAGCCGTGGCCTCAACTAACACCCGCACGCAAGCAGCACCTCCTGTCCCGCACCCCTGCGTCTCCACGTTTTGTTCCATGGGAAGGGCGGTGACAAGTGGGGAAGATAAGCTGAAGACCAGTGGATGCCCCTGGGCAACCCTCCCAACATCTGTTCCTGTACCCAGCAGCCCTTATAGGACCAAGAAACTACCATTCACCCTGCGGCTCAGCCCCACTAAACACCTGCGTGCATCTCAGTGCCCCCCACCTCCAGCCCACCTCCTGTGCTTTTGCACCGTTGCCTTCTGGCATGCCATCTTTGGCACGATTGAAAAATCCTTTCCTGGTCTCCAGACCAAAATAGCCATCGCCAGCCAGGCTGGGAGCAAAGGAGCAATGCTGGCATCCCGCTCCCGCTGCACTGAGGGCCCCATGCTGGGGGATGCTGCGTCTCGCCCACGCTGATTTACGCCGACACCAGCAGGAGGCAGAGGTTTCACAGATGAAATGCATGGGTAAAAGAAAATTTTCTGTCTGTGCCCCATAGAGTAATGGGATAGATGATGCAGGGTGTGGCCCCACTCCACCGTCTTGCCCCATCACCAGACTGGGGCCAAGGCATGGGGTGGTGCCACTTCTCCTGGTGCCAGGCACTCACTGTTGGGAGAGACCTCTTGCTGCTCCATGGCCAGGCCCCCCAGCTCGCAGAGAGCCCCAGCCTTCTCCTCCCACCTCTGGAGACTGCTTAGAAATGAGATAACACTGACCAACTTTAATTTACAGCAGCAGCAGGTCTGTTAGTGGTGACTTACATATGCTTTCAGCAGCAGATTGCCAGGAAGCCCCAGCCCAGGGTTTTGCATGTCCATAGCTATCTCCATAGCTGCACGTGGCCGGTGCTGTGCGGCATGATGCATCGAGGGAGCGCAGCGTTTCTCCCACTGCCTGCCTTTCACCATTCCCTGTGTGTGCACAGATTGACCTTGATTGGCAAAACACCCCAGCCTGGCTGTGTGCAGGCTGAGACATAGCACAGCACTTGTCACGTTCTGCTGCTCACACGTGCTCTCACCGGGCTAATGTTTCCCCTCATCTTGTCTGCAAAAATAGTATTTATCACACTGACATTGGCAGGGCCCTTTCACATCTCAAACGAGACCGTATATCAGGACGCTACGTGCAGAATCCCATTACAAATAGATTGTTGTTTTACAGGTCTCCCTCTTTCATCATTCAAGCAAAAATTAATGCACTCACAGCATACATGACAGGAACATGTTAGAAGAATATTTTTCACTGCTTGTCCTTTGAACTTCCAGCATTGCTTCTCAGTGACACTTGATACAGCTGAAGGAAAAACAGAACCCGGTATAAATTCTGAAGTTGCCATCACATAAACACTGGCAGTCCTTGCATTTACTATTGTGCTGGTTTTGGCTGGGATAGAGTTAATTTTCTTCATAGTAGCTACTATGGGGCTGTGTTTTGGATTTGTGCTGAAAAGTGCTGAAAATACGTTTTAGTTACTGCTGAGCAGTGCTTACACAAAGTCAAGGTCCACATCAGTGCAGATACATCTCAAAGTGTCTGTAGCTGTGGTTATGTCTGTGCTGCAGCAGGTGTACCTCTGAAGGGATTGTGGCCCGTGGATAAGGCCACGCTGGAACAGGTGAACGTCAAAGTGACTGTGGCTGTGGTTAAGTCTATGCCGCAGCAGGTGTACCTCTGGAGAGACTGCTGCT